TTCCTTAATACAAAGACGTGAGAGCATTTCGCATGTTCCCTTACAAAAGAGAAAAAAAAAAAACGACCAATCGATCTTTGGCATCAACCTCACCGTGTCGCCGCTGCCGGCGTCGCTGCTCCGACGTGCACGCGTCCTGTCCTGTATAGGCTGTCGTCCAGTTCTCACAGTACTAGCAGTAGGCCAGTAGTTTGGGCCGCCATCTGGGACCAATTATGAATAATACATCAAACGATATGTTAGTGATAAAAAGTTAATTTATAATTAAAACTTATATATATATATATATATATATATATATATATATATATATATATATATATATATATATGTATGTATGTATGTATATGTATGTGTGTATATATATATATATATATATATATATATATATAATATGTGTGTGTGTATATATGTATGTATGTGTATATGTGCGCGCGCGCGCGCGCGCGTGTGTTCTTAATGACTTAAGCGTTAATGTTTAAAAAAACTACGATATAAAAACTTTAAAATTAAGTTTTAAGATTTAAATTCTAGCATCGATGATATATATATATGTTGTAGAGCAAAAGATATGGCCCATGATCGTCGATGGCTGCCGCATGCGTCGTTACCTAATCTTAAGCTCTGTGGAATACAGATTGGGCGTGTACTACTGGTTGGTTCACTTTCCACTAGCTACAGTGAGCCGTGGCCATCGGCCGAACTGATGTAGAAAATTAGTCAAGGTGTAATACCGTATAACTCAGGGATGGCAATTTTGCTCATGGGTCCGGGTATCCGCGGATACCCGACCCAATAGGCATGGGTGTGGGTGTGATTTTTTATCCGTGGATATGCCCGCCCGATACCCGAAGACATTGTGGGTAACAGTCGGGTTTCATTTTTTACCTGTCGGTAACTCATGCCCGACCCGATACATATCTATTAGCTAATTTCAACTTATCTCTTAATTTTTATACCCATTTCTCTTGGTTCATTTGTGATACTAACTAATAATAAGTTGTGATGTAATTCAAATTATTGTCGATAACTAAAATTTGGTAAATTGTTAATTTTATTTCTCTTTGTTAAATTATCTATCTTTCGAATTATTATTTATGTGAGATCCATTGGGTACCCGCCGGATATACCCGTGCCCGTCGGGCATGGGTATGGGCACGGAGTTTTGTCTGCTAACTCTAGTGGGTAGGGTTCGGGTGGGTGACGACGGGCATGGGGTCGGGCATGGTTTTGCTCTACCCGTGCCCGACCTGACCTGCTGCCATCCCTAGTATAACTGATCGATACTGCACACAACGCAAGTGCGTGCTAGACAGTGGACACTGGTGGGAGTGGGGGAACCTATTTCCGTATACACAGATGCAATGTGACACTTCTATAATTTATCCCTGCTTTAAAACTTCTTAGTGTAACCTTCTCCCTTTTTTTCTTCTACAAATTGACCAAGTGGCATCATGTATTTACTAAAGTACACGGCCAGTCTTTAAAGTTGGAGCGAGGTGTCACTTAGGTCATGATCTTGAAAAATTGACCGGGTTGACTGGCTTACATGGCCGTCCAGAGTGACAGCATATTTGCATTTCATCCCCTTGGGATCCGATCCAACCCTTCTTCCCTAAATCTTTTTTTAGTGTGATTTCTATGGTTTGCGGTTGCGGGCCGATTGGGGTGGCAGTGGAAACGCGGCGGCGGCAGTGACGACGACAATGACGACGAGGAGGGAGGCGGGTACAACGGTGGGTTGGCGAGCATGCGCAAAGAGGGAGAAGGGAGGCGACTGGCGGGGAGAAGGGCGGGGGACGGCGGCCAGCCCTTCTCGCCATCGCTTGTTGTGGCCGCGGCGGGACCTGCAAGCGCTAGGCGAGCCGCCTCAAGTACCCGGAACTGGCCGAGTCGAGGTCGCCCCAGGCGAAGGGAAGCGGAAGGGCGAGTAGGGCGGTGGCAGCGGCTGGCCAGCGAAGCGGGGCGGCGAGCGGCTTCTAGGGCTCGGCGGTGAGGGCAAGATGGTGTCGGAGAGGGTGAAGGGGACGGTGAAGGGTTTTGACGCCACCAATGGGTTCGGCTTCATCACTCCCGACGACGACGGCGAGGACCTCTTCATCCACCAGTCCTCCCTCAAGTTCGACGACTATCGGAGCCTCAATGACAGCGATGTCATCGAGTTATCCGTCGGATCCGGCAACGACGGCCGCAATAAGGCCGTGGACGTCACCGCGCTAGGCGGCGACACGCACACCGGCGGATTCCGTCCCAGCTGCGGTCATATCCCTGCGGCTGGTTGTCCCCTCGTCGTCTCCTGGCCCTTGATGTGCTACTACTTCTTGCTTTGTGTCGTTCACCACCGCTCGTCATCCCCTCGTTGTCTCCCGGCTAGTTGTGTGTGGACGACACGAAGTAGCAGCACGAGAGTGACCTCTGGCGAGCTCACTCGTGTCGTCCCCGAGCTAAGCCGCTGCCGCACCGGGCTGCCGCCACCACACTCTGAGTTGTCGCCGGTCCAACCTATGCCATTGTGGCCTAAAGCTTGTATAGAACTCAGCCGTTGGAGCTCGACGCCCTCTGCCCTCCACCGCTGCTCCCCTCTCCTCGGCCCTCAACAGCGTGCGCTGTGCCGTCATCCGTTCGCCACCACCGTCGTTGTATACCATTGGCCGTGCCGTTGTTGTTGTCCACCATCAGCCGCTCGTTGTCGTCCTCACCACTAGTGCTGAAAGAAGATTTGGGGAAGAAGTGTTGGATCGGATGCGAGGGGGCTAAAATGCAAATATGATGCCACTCTGGATGGTCACGTAAGCTAGTCAACCCGGTCAAAGGTACTTTGGATCTCAATGAGTCATTTAAACAAGATCACGGACCCTAATATCGATTTTTCAAGATCATGAATCTAAGTGATACCTCGCTCTAACACGTTAAGGACCGGCCGCATACTTTACTCTACTTACTACCTACCTAGATGATACATTTTGGGGTTCTTGAGAGTTACCAATTTTCTATATATAATAATTATGTCATCCCAGATACATTTTACATTAGAAAATATGATATATCCAGATACCCACTCAAAGACAATAAAATCGCTCATTTGTAAATACATAGCTCGATGCAACATGAGGTAGTGTCATACATCAGACGACCATGTATAATTCATAGAGGGTGTCCATGCATATGGGCACACTAAGTTGAGCAGCGTTGAGGGGACGTAGCTAATAGATTATGGCCGATGGATGAGTTTACGATCATATTATTCAACACAAACAAATGAATTAAATTCAGAAAGTTGATAGCTTGATTTTGTTTTAAAAAAACAAAACTCTCAAAAAATAATGATGAAGAAAGTTTTTCATTAATAAATTACTGTTTAGGAAGTTAGAAAGTGTGTCTGTGATAATCTATAATCTGGAAGTTGTCGAGAACGCGGGATCAGGGGTGTTAGTTTTTCGAGATGATATTGTTATTAGTTGTAGTAGTATGTAAATTTTGTTCAACTCTGGACTTCTAATGAAAATTTGTCTGCAAATGTGCTGTAACTTAGTCCATCCGATCAAAAGTTTGTCTCGTATAAATAAGGAAAAAGTACAAATTACCCCTACTATCGTGGTTGACCGAATTACACCCCTGAACTCGAAAACCGGACATTTTACACCCTCGATTATTGAAACCGAACAAATAACCCCCTAACACTGTTTTGAGTGGTTTTGATTATATATAAATTACACACGTGGCGCTAACGTGGCAATCCAGTCAGCAAAACAAAATAAAAAAAACTCGCTGGGCCACTTAACCCTCAACCCAATCCCTTCAGTCCCCCCAACTCTCTCTTGCACATGCGCTCGGACCAGCAGCCGGCAGTGGAGGTGGACCTCGTCTGGGCGGCGGGTGGCGAAGGTGGATGTGACATCCCGGTCCAGGGTTTAATAGGATTAATAGAATACTCATATCAACAAGTTGCAACTTCTTTTCCGGAAGCCGATCTCTAAAGAACTTTGAGGTTAAGCGTGCTTGGCCTGAAGCAATTTAGGGATGGGTTGGCGAAGGCGGACCGGGCGACCAGCGACGGAGGCGGACCTCGTTGGGTACTGCTGTAATAGTTTGGGGGTAGTTCGTACTTTTTTCTATAATTAAATATATTTAGATGCAGGAAATTTACAATCATCAAATCATGTATGAGATTATTTGAAAAAAAATACAAGCATGTATAGATTAACAATTACTTTTGAATATTTGCATGCTTGCTTGGTATACATATTTTGGTTTGCATGCTTCAGCAGCCTATGTTAGTCGTTGTGGATAACGTCCTAAGGCCAGTCACAATGGCTAGTGTCATTGCACGGCTACCCAAAATATTATACCATCTTCTCTCAAATGAAATCTTTTATGAAACAATCCCCACAGTGGAGGGGTTTCACTTTGACGTTTCCAAGACTAAGCAAAGCATTTAATTGATACAAGTTGCTGGGATCATTTGTACCCAAAATCCGGCGCGGCGCGGGAGAATGCGGAGGTCGCACGGCGGAGGCGGACGCAAGAGATCCGGTGAATGAAACGAATCGGCCTCAACGGGGGTTTCACTCTGTTACCGAGGACTTGGAAACGACGCTGACGAGTTTCACCAGGATGAAACTCTTTCCTTCTCTCTCATCCCCATTTCATGCAAATAATCATTTTTTATTCAGTCTTACCCCTATTAAATGTGCATGACACACCAGTGAAACCCCCATTGTGACTGGCCTAATTAACCGAATCAAAGATACAGTCAACGAGTCATCGCAAGCAGCCAGCTAGCTCGCAATATCTGCATGAGAAACTGCCTAGTGCATGGACATTGGGAAAGTAATTTCTACGTCTAGGTTAAGCCCATAGTCTCATACTCTCACACTACCATCAACATCTGCCTGCCATTGCATGCATGCATGCAGCCAATTAAACAGTCAAAAAATGGCTGCAATCACATCACTCCTAACCCATCCAACTCATCTATATAAGCTCCAACCATTCCTCCCGAGAGAACCCAAGTTACACACACTTGATCAACTATCTAAGGGTGTGAAACACACAGCATTGAGACTGTGAGATCGAGCTATAGTGACAGCCATGGCAATCATCAGTAGCAAAGCTTGCCGTTGTTTGCTACTCGTCTCCTTTGCCTTGCTCCCACTCAGCATGGCCATGGATCCCCTTGGCAGCTACTGCTCCGGGAACAGCTTGGCCGGCAGCAGCAAGGCCGTGGCCAGCATCAACTCCGTCCTCACCGACCTCGTCACCAAGGGCTCCACCGGTGTCGGCTTCGCCACGTCCACCGCCGGGAAAGGCAACAACGTCATCTACGGTCTCGTGCAATGCCGCGGCGACGTCTCCACCAGCGACTGCCAGGCCTGCCTCGCCTCCGCCGCCAACCAGATCCTCACCAGCTGCAACTACCAATCCGACTCCAGAATATGGTATATTATATGCCAACTTGCCAAGTGTGATGACCACGAACATACGAAAGATAGCAAATTAAAACTGTAATAATTGTATTATGTGCAGGTATGACTACTGCTTCATGCGGTTCGAGAACGAGAATTTCTTCGGGCAGGCTGACACGGACAACGGGGTGATCATGGAGAACGTGCAGGCGATGGACAACGCCAAGGCATTCCAGAAGGCGGTGGGGAAGGTGATGAGCAAGGCGACGGCACAGGTGTCACAGGCGGGAAGCGGCGGGCTGGGAAGGGTGAAGGACCAATACACGCCATTCATCAATATCTACGGGTTCGCACAGTGCACGCGGGACCTATCGCCGCTGACATGTGCACAATGCCTATCAACGGCGGTGTCCAGGTTCGACCAATATTGCGGCGCGCAACAGGGATGCCGGATACTCTACAGTAGCTGCATGGTGCGCTACGAAATTTACCCCTTCTATTTTCCGCTCGCCACCAGTAGCACCGCCACTACCGACATGACAAAGTATACCAAGACCATCGTGCACCACTAAGAACTACCTACACATACATGGTGATGTGCATGCATGCTTGTACGCATACACATCACATACTAAAGTATAAACTATAGTACAATGTGTGTGGAGACGTTTGATTAGCATGCGGTTCATGAATAATATAAGGCTATAAAGTGTAGCCTTATTAGCATACTATAACCGGGAATAAAATGTGTACTAGCAAAGCAATGTACACACGTTTGTGTGGAGCAGTAATATTATCGAAGTGTTAAACTTATATATTATGTGCTACTGAAAATTGATCTTCAACTTGTTAGGACCAGCTTGGAAGGCATTTTTAATTTTTTATAGCTGCGACTTGTAAGTCATATGATCATGACATAGTTCACGAAATTAAAAGGTTACCAATTTTTAATTATGTGGATGGGTTGATGGGAAGAGTGTATATGGCTGAAATTCTCAAACAAGAAAAGAAAGAAAGGAGCCACATATATATGGGTGCTGCCTAGTGCCTACTATGTGTGCCGATTGGGTTATCTGTCACCTAAGACCGGACCCCAACCAGCACCAATCCGGTTTTCTGTAGTAGCAGTGATAGAGCATCTGCTATTGGCATGAGTTGCATCGATGGTCCAAATCAACGTCGAAAACTCTGAAAGGGGGGTCGATGCTTCGAAAGAGAGAGTTCACATATATCGTGAACTCCAAAACTCGTGCCAGATATATGGGCCGCACGACGAGCTAGTTGCAGAGACGACGTGACATATATACGTAACCAAAAGACCAAAAGATTCAGAGAGTTAGGGGCGATTCAACCGGATATACCGCCTAAGCAGCCCCTGTTTCTATATCACGATTGGTCAATAGCAACGCTGGCTGTCCACTAGCACGTACGATCTGATCCCGTCGACCCCCATGGCCGCATCTATGTTAGGCCGCACGTGTTTGTCCGTGTTTCACACACCTTGCAGCTGCAGCCTGCAGGTGAGGACAAGCAGTGATGCAGTAGCCCAGTTGAGTGTTTGGCAAAAAGGGCCTGGATGGCCTGCTAAACAAACCGTCCTCTGAGCCCAGACGCGACGGGCCTCAGATATGTGTTTGACGGCCCAACCGGTTTGCCTGCTCGGCCCCAACCGCCCTCGCTGATGAGCAAATTGACCGGTACTCCCTCCGTCTCATAATAAGACACATCCTAGTACTAGATTTGTTTGTTTAGTACAAAAGGAGTAGATAGCAATATAAATATGTAGATCTTTAATCTACTTAATTGAACTTAGCCGATCACCCTAATAAGGAAGAAGGGGTACTAACCGATGTCTGACACAGTTGAATATTTATGCAACTGTCGGTGTAGTGGATATAGTTGTTGACACAGTTGAATGTTTATGCAACTGTCAGTGTAGTGGATATAGTTGTTGGTCGAAGGGCTCCGGCTTCTTATTGAGGATTTGACAGTCATATTTGATACTTAAGGACCGTCAACAACCATTCGTGTCATTGAGGTGGTCGGAGCAAGAACCTGGAGAGCGGGGCGACAGCGATCACGTTCACACTCTGCTGCACCAGAGGGCAATGCAATTGCTGGAGTCGATCGATGAGCAGAGTTTGTTGTTGGTTAACTATGGTTGAGTTCAGATTAATGTTGTTTAGTTTTAGTTAATGTTGAATGGTTTTGTCAACCTTGGAGTTTAATTTTCATAACATAAGCCCTCCAAGACATATTTTACAAATGAACCTTCTAGGTACTACTCCCTTCGTTTCATGTTATAGGTTGCAGCTGTTCGGCCTTCGAATATGGCAACCGACGTGCAACCTAGTCCACCAGCGGTTGCAGTGCTGTGGTCGTCAGCTTTTGGGTCGAGAGCGGCAGTCCAAATATTTGCAAGGCCTTGTCCGCTTCCCCAGATCCAAACAGCTTTGGTGGCATGTCCTCGCCATCATCCTGCAAGCCCTTTGCTTCCCTTCCAATAGTGTTTTCTTCGAGTGGTGGTGTGATGCTAGAAAGAAAGTTGACAAAGCAAACAAACTGAGCTTCGACACCATTTGTCACCCTAGTAGCCTGGATAATTTGGAAGGAATGAAACAATTGGGTGTTCAACTATGAAAGGAAATTATGGGAGGAAGTAGCGCAAGCGTGGCCGCGGAGGTAGCAACAGTCTAGCGCGCAGCTGACCTGCCCATTTGAGGCGTTGTCCGCTGATCAGTCGCCAGACTTGTCGCGAGATGTAGACCCACGCCTTTTGTGTTCCCTTGTTTTTCTTTTTTTCCTTATAGTTAAAGTTTGTAAAGTTTAAAAATTTCACCTCTCTTAATACAAAAGATACACAAGGCTTTTGCTTATTCTGGTCAAACTTTTTTAGATTTGATCGGTTTGTAGAAAATTTTAGCAACAAAACAACACTAAACTAGTTTCGTTAAATATTACATTAAATTTATTTTGAAAATATGTTTGTTTTGTGTTATCTATGTTGCTATATTTTTTTTCTATAAACTTGATTAAGCTAAAATAATTGATTAGAAAAAATATCAAAATAAATTATAATATAAAACGAAGATGATATAACATAGATATTTTGCTAGTGGATTAAAAAACATGGCCTGTACATCCTAGCCAGTTTGGATTAACAATTAGTTTTGCATAATTGCATCCTAAGCTTGGTACATATTTTCGTTTGCTTCACAGTATACAGTCCCTGTTAGTCGTTGTGGATAACGTCCTAATTAACCGAGTCAAATATAACTAGTCAACGACTCGTAGCAAGCAGCCAATCAGCCAGCTGGCTCGCAATATCTGCAGAAACTAGTGCATCGACATTGCCATGTCCGACTCAGCAATAGTTAAGCTCGTAGTAGTCTCCATATACGACCGTCAACATCAACCATTGCATGCAACCAATTAAAGAGTCAAAAAAAGGCTGCAATCACATCGCTCCTAACCCATATCCAACTCATCTTTATAAGATCCAACCATTCCTCCCCAGTGAACCCAAGCCCCCCACACACACTTCTAACTAGCTAGGTGTGATACACAGCAGTGACAGTGAGAGTGAGAGTGAGCTTGAGTGATCATAGCCATGGCATTCAGTAGCAAAGCTTGCCGTTGCTTGGTGCTCATGTCATTTGCCTTGCTCCCACTGAGCATGGCCATGGACTCCATTGGCAGCTACTGTTCAGGGAACAGCTTGGCCGGCAACAGCAAGGCCGTGGCAAGCATCAACTCCGTCCTCACCGACCTCGTCGCCAAGGGCTCCACCGGCGGCGGCTTCGCCACGTCCTCCGCCGGGAAAGCCAACAACGTCATCTACGGTCTCGCGCAATGCCGCGGCGACGTCTCCACCAGCGACTGCCAGGCCTGCCTCGCCTCCGCCGCCAACCAGATCCTCACCAGCTGCAACTACCAATCCGACTCAAGAATATGGTATATATGCCAAGTGTGATGACCACAAACATACGAAAAAACAATGAATTCAGGCGACTGATAAACTTCAAAACTATAATTATTCTACGTGCAGGTATGACTACTGCTTCATGCGGTTCGAGAACGAGAACTTCATCGGGCAGACGGACACAGATGCCGGGGTGATTCTTGTGAACGTGCAGGCGATGGATAACGGCAAGGCGTTCCAGAAGGCGGTAGGGAAGGTTATGGGCAAGGCAACGTCGCAGGCATCACAGGCTGGGAGTGGTGGGCTGGGTAGGACGAAGGATCAGTACACGCCGTTCATCAACATCTACGGGCTGGCACAGTGCACACAGGACTTGTCACCGCTGGCTTGCGCACAGTGTCTGTCAACGGCGGTGTCAAGGTTCGGTCAATACTGCGGCGCACAACAGGGATGTCAGATTAACTACAGTAGCTGCAGGGTGCGCTACGAGATCTATCCCTTCTACTTCCCGCTCGCCACCAGCGCACGCAGCGCCACCACTGACATGACCAAGTACACCAAGATCGTTGTGCACCGCTAAGCATCCATGGTTAGTTGCACGTACATGGTGATGTGCGCATGCAAAAGTTGCAAACACATCACGTACGTACGTATTAATGTTCAACGTATTATGTGTCTGTGGATGTTTCAGCGTGCAGTGGATGAATAATCAAGGCTATAAAATGTAGCCTTAGCATGTTATAACTGGGAATAAAGATGTGAGTACTAGCTAAGCAATGTACGCGCACATTCGTGTGGAGTAATAATATTAGAGTTTTTAACCATTGCATTATGTGTGACGTATAAAGTACAGACAATTAATTATATACCACGTTATAAAATATAAGAGATTTTACCCATTTAATCTTACTTATATAGATAAAATCTTCTATATTTTATAACGGAGATAATATCCGTGATCTTCCACTTATAAGGACAAGCTTGGAAGGCATTTTTATAGCTTCGACTTATAAGTCGCATGATCATGATATAGCGCACAAAATTAGGTTATCATTTATTTTAATTACGTGCATGGGTGGGAAGAGTAATAATGTCCCCCGGCGATACTATGGTGTATGATCTGCTATACATGATGGCCAAGCCACCAAGGACTCAACAGCTTATAATTGTGACGATAAAATGAACGACCAGATATTCTTTCTCTAACGCAAAGGGACATTTTTTTGAAGGATTTCAATGAGAATATAGAACCTAAACCGGATGAAAATTCTATGCTGTCACGTTAATATATCGTTTACACATGCCTCCCTATCATGCCCTATCTTCACTTTAGTTCTTTTTTAAAAAAGATATTCAGAAGACACTCTCTACATTTCTTCTCTCCCTAGTCTTAATATTTTCTTTAGAAAAAAAATACATGAGAGATGCACGCACACCCTAAACTATAAATCGAACTGTCGCTAATCCCTGATCTCATAACGTTATATATAAGAAATCGTTTAATGATCAGTTGATCACTACTCGATCGGTTCTTGCGCTCTCCAACTGAATTGATTTAGCAGATTGAAAATGGCGCTCTAGCTACATCTTACTGTGTGTGTCACCATCTGATCGATCATGCCCTTTTGCACTATGTTTTTATTTGCTGAATAGATGAATGGTTGAGTGATTTTGTGATTACTATTAAGGTACAAATGAATGAACTAAGTAATACAAAGTTGAAAAATGAACACATAATAGTTTTTTAAAAATTCATATATATATATATAAGTGTTTTTAAAAAATAACACCATTTAGAAGCTTAGATAGTGTGTCATATTAATCCACCATGTATCTCCTTAGTTAGTCTCCTTACGGAGTAATAATAATTAGATATATGGCTGTACGTTCCACAACTTCTGCCAAAATTGAACGGAGCATGTACAGGTCATGAAAACTACGGGGGTGAACTTTAAATGTACTTTCTCCGTTTCACAATGTAAGTTATTCTAGCATTTCTCATATTCATATTTATGTTAATGAATTTAGATAGATATATATATTTAGATTCATTAACATCAATATAAATGTGGGAAATGCTAGACTTACATTGTGAAACGGAGGGAGTATTATAACGACTTCGGTCTGGTCAAATCTTTACAAACTGTGCCTTGGCGGTTCGCTCTGGAGTCACATATAATGCCTGCTATTGGCGTGTGCTGGGATGCTTTGAAGATAGAGTTTGCTGCTTACGTACATAGCCCCAAAGTCCAAACTTAGTGCCAGATATATCGGCAGGACGATGAACTAGTTGCGGAAACGACGTGACATACCTAACAAAATTTCGGAGTTAGGAGCGATCCAACCGGATATACCGCCCAATCAGCACCGATTTCTATAGCACGATTGGCCAGTTGCAACTTGCAACGAGCCAACGACGTCCACTATCTTGACCTCATCCCGTCGACTCCATGCCAATATGCCATGGCACTATGGCAGCATCTATCTAGCTAGGTCAGATGTTCACCCTTGCAGCTGCAGTTGAGGATGCTGCGGCCCAGTTGAGTGTTTGGCAAAAAGTGAAAAAGGGCCTGGATATTCGGCCTGCTAAAGAAACCGTTCTCCGAGCCCATACGTGACAGGCCTTACATGTGTGGGCCGTGCAACCTGCTGCTTGCTCGGCCCGAACCGGCCGGAGACATCCTCACCGATGACGATGACGATGAGCAATGAGCAGGGAAAGCCAGAGGCAAACGTACGTGGAGGCAGGAGGAGTGGTCACCGCGTGCATGCGCGCCACCTCCCCGGTCTGCCGACTCTGGCGGCTGCGCCCGCACGCACAAATGGGAGCTCGTGGGCTCCAGGAAAGACCGAACACTGCACTGCACAACACAAGCGTCGTCTTCAGGCCGTACGTGACAAACCTCAGCAGGCGAGTGTCATGGCCTCCGAAGGCGCCGTGAGCCCGGCGTTCGCCTACACCGTCGTCTACGTCAAGGACGTCGCCAAGTCGGCCGCCTTCTACTCCGCCGCGTTCGGCTACACCGTCCGCCGCCTCGACCAATCCCACAAGTAAACCATCCTCGGTTAATATTTTTTTTCCCCGTCTTAAATTTTTAACTGGCTGCTTGAAAGTACTTCCTGATGCGTGTGACGTGTAATGAATTATAAGGTGGGCGGAGCTGGAGAGCGGGACGACGACGATCGCGTTCACGCCGCTGCACCAGAGGGAGACGGACGCGCTGACGGGCGCGGTGCAGCTGCCGGACTCGGCCGGCGAGCGGGGGCCCGTGGAGATCTGCTTCGACTACGCGGACGTCGACGCGGCGTACCGGCGGGCCGTGGACAGCGGCGCCGTGCCGGTGAGCCCGCCGGAGCAGAAGAGCTGGGGCCAGAAGGTCGGGTACGTCAGGGACATCGACGGGATCATCGTGCGCATGGGCAGCCACGTCCGCGCGTAGCGGCCATGCGCCTGCTCGGTTGGGGGATTTTAGCCGTGTATGTTCAATAATGTGAACTGTTCTCCACTGATCTGTTGATATATGGAATAAAACTGTGATCTCGTTGGTTGTGGTCTGTACTCCAAAGTCCAAACGAGAAAAAATGGCCATGTTTGATGTATGATGTGTTCAATCATGAATCACATGGGTAAGGATAGGAATAAGTTCACTTTATCCCTCAATTTGTCGTCAGTATGATTTTCGTTCCTGAACCGTAAAATTAGATACAACTTATTTTCCAACTTACAAAACTCGTTCCTGAACCGTAAAATTAGATACAACTTATTTTCCAACTTACAAAACTAAAACGTATTTTCTAACTTACAAAACTAGTACGGTTTAGATAGCGGTTTTGGCTGACATGACGTCTACGTGGCTAGTTTAACTAGTTTAACTAGGTCTTCATCCTATAGCATTGACATGACACTTACATGGCAATTATATATCGGAAAAATAATAAAAGCCATGGGCCCAGATATCAGCTACACAACAAAATAAATATGGTGGGTGGGCCCCACATGTCATCCTCTTCCCTCTTGGCTCTCCCTCCTCTTCCTCATCGCACCGCAGCGCCACCTCACAGCCATCGCCGCCATCGTTGTCGTCGTCATCCCAGTCCCCACCGTCTCTGATGACGACGGCGGCCGAAGCATGCCGGCGGAACAGCGGCGGCAGAGGTAGCCGAAGGAGGAGGAAGAGAAGGAGGTCGCCGGCGAGCGCGGCAACTGTGGCGGGTTATCTCCTCAGGCCGCCGCTCGCCGCTAGTAGCTCTTGAACACGCGGGAGGACTTCACAAGCGCGTCCCCTCCGCGCTGCACATCGCGCACCCATGCACGCTAGAGGACTTCACGGGGGGTGTCCTCTCCGCGACCGAGAGCGCAACACCTGCCTCGAGCTCCACAAGGCGTGTGGCCGGCGGCGACAGAGCAGAGGGGCGGCGGCGAGAAGAGGGACGGCAGCAGAGAGGGCGTCGGCCTGGATCTGCACGAAAGGGAAGGGCGGGTGGGCGGCGAGGAGAATGACGGAGCAGGCGAGCGAGGCGGGAGGTGGCGGAGCGAACCGACGGTGGGCGGCAACCTCGGCAAGGTGGGGAGGAGGCGGAGGGGAGCGCGGAGAGGTCGACGGTGACAGCCGGCGGGAAGAAGGCGAGCGTGCCGGAGATTGAGCAGAGGAACTCCGCCAGTGGGTCCGTCGTGAAAGACGACGATGACGAGGACATCGGCAGCTTGGAGGGCCGCGTCGGCGGCGAGGATGGGCGCCACCACGGCCAACCTCTCGCCTGCGGCGCCGGCGTTGTTGTTGTCGTCCTCCGTCGCCTTGCCCCTCGTCTGTGCCGCGGCCGCCGCCTGCTGGAGCCGCGTGGAGCGCCGCCTTGCCCCTCGCCTGCTCCGGCCGACGCCGCTCTGCCGGCCTGCTCTAGCTGCGGCCTGCCCCGCCCTGTCCCACCCCGCTCAGCCGGTCAGCCGCTCCGCCCCAGTCGTCGCCTGCTCCGGCTCGGAGAGAGAGGAATTATTTTTTGTGTAGCTGATATATGGTCCCACGATTTTTATTATTTTTTGGGATAAAATTGCCATGTAAGCGATACGTGGATGCCACGTGGGACGAAGACATAGTCAAAGGAGCTACGTAGGCGTCTCATCGGCCAAAACCGCCCTTCATACCACCGAGGGACCTCGTTTGCCCGGTTTTCGTAAGTTGGGGGATGGATCGTATTCGGTTTTGTAGTTAAGGGACGAAAATAGGACTGACCGACAAATAGAGAGACTAAGGGCCAGTTTGTTTTGTGACCAATGTTTTTGGTAAGGCCAACATGTGTTTGGATTGAAGCCAAATTAAACTAATTTGGCTATTAAAATGGCCTATGTTATATAGGCATGTCAAAAACATACACAATTATTGTTAAGGTTGCAAAAAAATTTGACAAGCCTAATTTAGGCCTGCCCTAAGTGACGATATGCATGGTCCCATGGCCATATGCTACCGTGTTCCGGCCCATGAACTACAGCTAAGGGCCTACATAGGTGATGCTGTCAGCCTGCCACAGGCACAGCCCAACGGCTAACCACTGTCGAGCCTCTGCACGAACACCGGACTGGCCCGGCACGCATAGCACCTGCGCAAACAGAGGGAATTTTTTTTCCATTTTTCATTTTTTATTTTTTAATATTTACAGAAATATTGTACCGACGAAAATATTTACAGAAATAGACCCTACCGCCCTCTCTGAGAGTGGCAGGGTGACGCGAGGGACGGACAAGTTGAAAAAAAAAACTAGAAAATATATTTTTGGTAGGGCGAAAATTGCATTTACTCCCTTGCAGCCTTTGTAGAGGGCGGCAAAGGACCTAAGTGCAAAATGCGCACACCTTGCAGCCCTCCACTTGGACGGCAGGGGCCATTGTGTAAATATTTTGGATGGTATAATATTTCTATAAATATTAAAAAAATTAAAATTAAAAATGAAAAAAATTCCTCAAACAGGCTCGTACAAGGCTCCTTCCATCTACCATCTCTTTCTATACGTTCCAGGTGGCGAAACGTAAGAGAAAAAGGAAAAAAAAAAAAGCAAAAGCCGTCTCCAAGAAGGCACAGACGCTATACATAACTCCAGCGTTTTCCACTTGGCGCGGGAACCCGCTCGAGCGGTCGAGCCGGACGGACCAACCTCCCAAAGGAAACCAAAAGAAGATCTCACGTCGTCGCACCCAACCCACCAACCACCCGCCGCACGAAACCTGCGAGCGAACCGAGAGAGATCACCATCCCCCCGCACCGTTCTGGAGACGTCCCGTGCGCGCGCCACAACACCCGAACCCTCCACAAGCCTTAAGCCCGGCCCCGAGCCGAAACCGCCTCCGCCTATTCGCGCCACCCACATCACGCCCCTACTCGAACATTCGTGAACGCCGCGCCGCTCTGCTCCTATATAAGCAAATCCCCTCCCTTTGCCTTTCTCCCCCACCAAAGTCGAGAGATCGAAGCGAAAAAAAACAGAGCAAAATCGTCCCAGCGCGAGCGAATCAGAAGAGCAACAACACAACTCGATCGTTCATCAGCGGAGAGCTTGATTTGATTTGATCGGAAGAGAAGAAAGATGGCGGGCAACAAGGGAGAGGGCCCTGCGATCGGCATCGACCTCGGCACGACCTACTCGTGCGTCGGCGTGTGGCAGCATGACAGGGTGGAGATCATCGCCAACGACCAGGGCAACCGCACCACGCCGTCGTACGTGGCCTTCACCGACACCGAGAGGCTCATCGGCGACGCCGCCAAGAACCAGGTCGCCATGAACCCCACCAACACCGTCTTTGGTAAGTGCCCCGCTCCTTTGCTTCCGCCTTCAATTATTTGATTTTTGGTGTCAAAATTATGGAATTAGTTTCTTTTTCTAATCAAATCAAACTTGGTAAATTTAATTAAATTTATTAAAAAATAGCAACATCTAAAACACAAAATTATCACTACATCTAACACCTAACATTAAGACCTCTATTCTCTACCGTTACATTACGGCTTGTTTGGTAACTCGAGGGAAAGAGATTGAGAGTTTACACGAGAAAATTGATGATGAGATTAAAATGGGAATTTGATTTTTAATCCTATATCTTGTTTGGTAGAGGCGATGGAAATTGATAGGGAGTTTAGTTGGAGATTAGATCATTAATAAAAATGGATGGATGAGATTTGCTTAGACAAAATAAAGGGGATCTCTTCCAATTACCTGCCCCTACGCAGGTATTAAAAAGGAGGGAGTTCCTTCCTCAATTCCCCATCCCATCCCACCAAAATTTCCATGTCTCTCAACCAAACAAAACACTTAATAGCCTCATCCTTCTGAACTCCCAATCCCTTCTAAAAACTCCCTCCAACCAAACGTGCCAATGAGGGCTTCAGGCCCTAGTTAAAAAAAATAAAAATCTAAATCTAACATGCAATGTACTAAATATTAAAATATATTTGTTCACATCTATTTATATTATTAAAGAAATAGAAAAAGGAGCCTCCACGTCCGCTCTCATGGCCTCGTTCGTTCTCATGGCCTAGAAATTCTCACATTAATTGGAGAAAAAGAAAAAGCAGAGTACATATAGAAATACAATTTAGAAATAGCTGAAATTTGGAATTAAAAAATAAGGAATATTAGAAAAGGAGACTAGAGTCCATATAGAAATACAATTTAGAAATAGTTGAAATTCAGAATTAAAAAATAAAGAATATTAGAAGAGGAGACTAGAGTCCATATAGAAATACAATTAGGAAATAACTGAAATTCGGAATTAAAAATAAGGAATATTAGATGTAGAGTATAGAGTCCATATAGAAATACAATTAAGAAAAAATAGAAATTCGGAATTAAAAAATAAGGAATATTAGAAGTAGAGTATAGAATCCATATAGCAATTTAAAACTAACTAAAATTAAGAATAAACATAATAAAATTAAAATTAGAGTTTTGAGTCCGTATAAAAATACAATTTACAAATAACTGAAATTCGAAATTAAGAAAAACATGGGAAGAAGAGTTTAAAGTCAATATAGGAATACAATTTGGAAGTAATTGAAATTTGAAATTAAAAATTGAAGAATATTGAGAGATGAGTTTAGAGTCCACCTAGAGATACAATTAGAAATAATAAAAATTCAGAGATAAAAATAAATATATTGGAAGAAGAGCCTAGAGCCTATATAGAAATACAATTTACAGAAAATTCGGAATTAAAAAAAGAAATATTAAAAGACGAGTCTAGAGTAGATATAGGAATATATATAATTTACAAATAACTAAAATTTGATATTAAAAATAATTAATAACTAACACGTATATAAAATACAATATGAATACTACATATTTGTAGTTTTGTAAACTTATTGCAAAATTTAAAATTATGATGTTATTCTAATATATTTGAATAATATAATGAGAAAACATATATGCTATTACATGAGAAAATATACTGATGCTAGCCGCGCAATCTGCGCGGGCCACCATGCTAGTTCAAAATATAGCTGTGTTTTTTCTATAAACCTGATCATTTTTTTAAAAAAATAAAATATTTGATTAAAACAATCAAAACAACAGATAATATGAAACTGGGAAGTATTCATGAGCCGTAGGAGTTACACTTGCAACACATCTTGCTCTGTTTCCTCTGTTTTGGCGGCAGATGATGAG